AAGCTCACTGCCTGCAAAGGGAGGGCACTGATGCTGGATCCTTGGACCATGATCTTTGAAGGGCTGGGGTCCAGCTCTGGGGATCATTCCTGGGGGAGGGTCCCAGCTCCTGTCTGCCCATCCTGGTGACAATAGCCAGGGCTCCAGGCCTGATACCCCTAGGCCGCTTCATTCCTGCACTGTCCAGCTTTGTGGATTTGGGGAGGTGATTTGTCCTCTCTGAGCCTCGAATGTGGAGCCCTCACACCTGCCTCCCAGACAATTAGACAAAACCACTGGGGCAAAGCTCAAGCTTGACTCTCAGTAAATGGCGCTGTTACGGAGTTTTTATCATGTCACTCTAGGTGACAGTTACCAAAGTCAGAGCAGGCAGTTAACAAGCCCCTGTTCTGATACTGGGCAGAGTCTCCAGGAGCAGGTGGACTCCCTGAGAGCACCAAGGGACACATGTCACCCGAGGAAGCCTATGGGGCAGGAGTTGGGCTTCCCTGTGGCCACCACATGTGGACCAGAGCCCAGGTGTCATGGACCCTCACACAGGGGGCCTCACTGTGCTTCCCTGCCCACTGTGGGGATCTCAGAGGCAGCTGTTTGTCCCCAGAGCCCCTCTTCAGACCAGGGAGACCCTGGCTGAGCAGAGCGATCAAGTTAAAGAAGGACCGCCTCTGGGTAAGACACATCGACGGGCCCCTTTCCCTCCTCCCAAGCTCCCCGAGCTACCCACTGTCGTGGAGCTGCGCTCGGCCTCGCCAGGGTGGGGCCCAGAGCAAGGCGGTGCCCTGAAGCTCACACATAGCACCCCGTTCCCCCAACACGAGTCAGCAGGTCCCTGCAGGAGGGCTGGGCAGCCTCAATGGCCCCTCAGGAAAGGACAGTCTGCTACAGAGTTCAAGGGTTCCAAGTCCCACCCCCACCAATGGCACCTAAAGGCAGCTTAGCTAGAAGTTCCCTCTGGGTCCAGGCTCCCCTGTCCTCCTTGAGGGTGGATGCGGGGGACAAGGTGGCCGAGCGGTTGTGTAGACCCAGGGCTGCTGATGTCAGGGGCCAGCTGTGCCCGAATGGAGCCTGATTGCTGCCTGCTGGCATGTCCTGAGAGCAGTTAGGGCCAGGCACCAAGCCAAGAGCCGTCCTTCAATGAACCCTGGTGTGGCTGGGACCATTTTACAGATGAGGAAGTGGAGGCTCAGAGGGGACAAAGCTCACACCGCAAGCACAGAGCTGGGGCTGGATCTGGGTCTGGCGGCCCCAAACTGTGCGGTCAGCGTCGGCACTACCCCCACACGCATGGAGGGCTATATGCTCCTTCTGCGCCCCTCCATCCCTCATCACCACCTTACCCTTGACTGTGAGCGGAGCACTGAGCGGCCATGGATACCAAGTCGTACAGAGGGTGTGTGCGGCAGCCACCGGGGCCGTGGGTGTGCCTCCCTCGCCCTTCTCTCTTCTCTGTTCAGCCCTCATCCTCTCTCCCATCAACCCAGCCACAAGGACTGATGGAGTCTCACCTTCCTAAACAGACACACCCCATGGATCCACGAGGTGGCGGGAGGAACGTTGTGACACTTTGGAGCATGAGTCAGATTCAGGGAGGGAAGGGCAGGGCAGCAGGTTCAGTCGTTGCCTGAGCAGAGGTACAAAGGTACTGGCTGAAGGGCCGGGGTGGGGCCCAACAGAAGGGCACAGCAGCCAGCCTCAGAGCCATCAGGGATGTACCTGGCACCATCGGCGAGTGCCTGCCCAGGGCTCACCCAGGCAGGTGGCTTTTAGATAGCCACCCACAGGCAGGGCTTGGGCCTGGAGCCCCAGCCGCCGGTTAGTGCTCCGGCTTCATAGAGCACAACAGCAGGACTAGGGTCCTGGTATAGCAGCCCCCCTTGCCCCAGGCTGGGATGCGCTCATGTGGAGCAACTGGCCCGCATGCAGGAACAGTGTGCACAGTGAGGGGGCCTGAAGAAGTGACCCCGTCGAGGCCCCTCACCCAGCTGGCCCAGTGCCAGTCCCCAACCTCAACCTCCCGCCTTCCCATACGCACTCCCCCTACGCACGGCTGGGGAGAGTGCACCGCAACTGAGATCCTACCCACTGCATTTTGGGAACCTGAGGGGACACCTGTGCTGGCCACTGGGCTGCACACAGTGACTGGCTCTCCATGGACTTTGCGAGGTCCTGGGGGAGGCCCAGCATGACTAGAGCATGGAGGACATCATGTATGTCTGGCCCAGAGCACAGGGCTGGTCAATTTCACTTGACATTATGGAGCCCAATCTCCATGTACAGAAATGGCACAGAGGCTTGCAGGTGATAGCGTACAAATAAATGGACAGAAGAATGGGTGCATAGAAGGGTGGATGGGTGCCAGGGAGCAAAGTGCCAGTAAGCGCTTCTGGCCACCCCATTGCAGGAGGGCCTTTGGTGGGCTGTGGGTCAGGTCTTGGGGTGAAATGGGGGCCACTGGGAGCCATGGATCCCTTTCCTGCTGGACCGTAGAGTAGGATGTCTTGACCCCACACGGGGCGACCGAGGTTTGGAGAGGACAGGGTGGGTGGGGATGGTCGGTGCCTGCTCATTCCCAGGACCCTCTGGGAGGTGTGGGAGCCGCAGAGGCTTTTCTGTCAAGAGGCAGAAAGACTCCATGAATATTTCATTAGGGAAGCCATGTGGCGGTCGAGGAACATCTGGCGGGACTCTCCAGGGAGCTGGGAGCCCGCGCAGGAAGCAGGACTGTGAAATTCGGAGGTGGTATGAGGGGGTGCTGGCCTCCGCCGCTGAGGAAGGCTCTTTTTCTGTCACCACGCTGGCTCAGGCCATCCACCCCCGTTCTGGGGACAAAGGCCTGCCAGTGGAGGCGGCTGTGGGCCAAGCTGTGGGGTGGGCCATGGGTCAGCCTCCTGGTTCCCCCACACCGTGGCTCCCTCTGCCCACTGTCCCCACCCAGGCCCGTGGCCAGGCCAGAGCTACTCAGGGGAGAAGGCCTGGGGTCTGAGTCTCCAGAGAGGCCGTAGGCTGGGGCAAGACTGGGGCCCGGGGCAGCCTAGGGAGACGGAGGAGCCCAGCTGGACTTGACAGGCTTTGGGCTGTGGAGTGAGGCTGCGGTTGGGGGTTTCCCGCCTGGCATCGCTGGAGGTGCAGTGGACAGTCACTACTGCCTGAAGCCCCTCCAGTTCTAAAATCCCCTGCTGGGGGCCCCGACCGGGGCTCACCTGGAACAGGGCCACACCGACCCTGCTAGTGGGGCGTTAGAACCAGTGATGGAGAGTTCTGGGGGCTGGGCGCAGAAGAACCCCCCCAACCTCAAAGACCTGGGCAAACCTGCACCGGTGCCAGGGCACGACCCACAGGACCCTCCTGGTCCAAACCAGCCTACGTGCTGAGGGGTGCCCACGCCCCTCACCGCCAAACAAGCTGAGGCTCTGAGACCTTAGTTTGCCCTCCTGTGTGCAGATCCCAAACTCAGCTCTTGGCCAGCACCCAGAACCATCACACCGGCTTCCAGGGGCTGGTCAGGCTGGGCCTGGGCACCCTCTTCAGAAGCCCCATTACCTGCTGGTCAGGGAGGACGGCCCATCCCTGAGAGCCCCTGCGCTGTGCCTGAGCAGTCTTGTGGCTGGGCCTCTGCCAGGGTCTGAGCCCTGCCTGAAGCCGCAAAGCACCTCTTGTTCCATCTCCACCCTTCTAACTCCCAGTCCTGTGTTCACTGTGTGCCCCTCAGCCCTGGGTCACCCCCACACCGCACCCCCTCAGCCAGCCCAGACCTTGGGAGCTCCTCACGGGCCTCCCGGAGCTAGGCTCCTTGGCCTTCAGGCTCTGTAGCCCAAACCCCTTCCTACTTGGCAGTGCTGGGGCCGGCCACTGCCCAGGGCACAGGCCCCAGGGGCCCAAGCCCGCATCCTTCCCTGCCATGTGCCCCAGGCCTCCTTGTGCGGTCCCTTCTGTATGGATCTACTCTGGCTGCTCCAAACGTCACCCGGCACAGCCTCCAGCCCAGAGTCCTCTGAGCGGCAACAGTGTCCCTCTGGTCCTGTGCCCCCAGCCTAAGGCATAAGTCCCCGTACCCTTCGCCCAATGTGCTCGGATGTTCCCTCCCACCTTCATCATGGATCTTGCCCAGGGACGGGATGGCTGGGCACCGCGGCTGGCAGCACTCCACATGAGCCCTCCTGCCACCACCGCCTGGCAGGCAAGAAGCCTAAATCGCCTCTCCGGCTGCTTTGGTCCTTTCTGCCCAGCAGGGCTTTGTCCTAGGAACTCCCCCACACACCACTCCTCCCCACCCGGGCAGCTTGCCCCCATGCCCTCGGCAGCTGGGCTCCTTGGCACAGCCGCCTGAGCTCCCTCTGATGGCCACGTTTGGCTGTGGTCCCACCGGTCTGCACACAGGCACAGCGGTGCCAAGCCAGGCTGCAGGGCTCTGGGCAGATGGGAAGGAGGGAAGTGAGATGCTTCTCCTGGGATCTCCCAGCCCCTCCAGGTGTCACCCCCCGGTCCTCCTCCTATCCCCACCTGAGTCCCTGGGATGGACTGCAAGAAGAAACAGACAGACATTCAAGGACGGTTTGGGGACACCGTTCCAAAAGTGAGGCAGAGAGGACCTTGCCCTAAGAGCCAGCAGGGCATGGGGCAGAGGTGACGCAGCCACGAGACCCCAGAGAGAGGGGCCCAAGCACCAGAGGCAGAGGCGCTGCCATGCCAGGGCCCCCGGATGTGGTTGCTGTCCCCTTAAACCCCGACACTACCCACACCCAGCCGGCCAGCCCTGCTTTATTCCCTCTGTGCAGGAACGGTTTCTGCGCCACCTGAAGGGCTCCTGCCCACCACACTTGGACAACACAGGCCCCAGGGTGGCGGACCACCCCCTACGCCCATGGCAGTGTTCAGGGAGCCGAACCTGCTGGCCCAGAACCCCGCTACACACAGCTGTCCCTTGCAGGCTGCTGTGCCACAGCACCTACACCCAGGCCGAGACCCAGCCACCTGCCCAGGGAGCCCCAGTCGGTTGTTACCTGTGCCGCGCTGGTCGCCACTGTCCACCTGCTCCCAGCCCGGTTCTCCATGGCTCCGCTGCCAAGCGGCTGCCGCCTCCCCAGGACGGGCTGCCGGCGATTTTCTGTGGTTTTTGTTTGTGAGTTTTGGCCCCGTGAGCCTGCGGGCACCCAGGAGGCACCCAGCCCGCTGCTCTTCCATGGCAAGCGTCCATCTTCCCTTCGCAGCGGCTCTCACCTCTCCCTCCTCCTGTCCCCACCGTGCCAGCTCAGAGGCAACTGGCACGGACGGAGCCCGGCCAGCCTCTCGCAGCTGGGTGTAGCCACGCTCCTTTTTTTTTTTTTCGTATTTTAAACACACACACATACTCGCACATGCACACACACACATGCCAAGCCCCCCGCCCCCGACAACATGCATCCCTTCTGTCAGGAGCAGCCCCAGCCAAGAAAGCCCAGAAGCGGGCGGCGGCAGAGAGCCGGGCTGCCGAGCGGTGGAAACCCCAGCCCCGAGCCCGTCCCTTCCTCTCCCATCACCCTCCTCTTACGTAAGAACTTCACATGCATATCGTACTTCGCAGCCTCCTGATTGGGTCCACCTTGTAACCGGCCTGGTCCTTCACCGCCCGGGCCCCAGCCATGCTGGCCCCCTGCCCAGCCCCCAGCCCAGCCCCCAGCCTCCACCTCACTGCTCCTGTCCCTTCCCTAAGATGTGTTTATTTATGGAGGGCCCACTGCAGGCCACGTGCTGAGCAGCTGACTGGATGGACACAGGCCTGGCCTCCTGGAGCCGGCAGTCGAGCCGGGGACATGATTAAACATGAGCGCTGTGAGGAGACATGCAAGTGCTGTGACGTACAAGAGTGGCTGTAGGGTAGCGATGGGAGTCTCCCTGAGGGGTCAGAGCAGGGTCCCAAGTGGACGTGAGGGTCAAGCCCAACCTCAGGCCAGGACAGAGATGCAGGAAGAGGCCTTGGTCAGAACTCCAGCTGAGACGGCAGCAGGTGGATGGTGCCAGCTGTCTGCTCGAAGCCATTAGCACCCTCTCACTTGCTCATTCAATCCCCGTGGGCGAGCCCACCCTCTGCCAGGTCCCTGGAGCAGGAAGTGGCTGATTCCAAGGAGGGGGAAAGATTGGGGGCAGATGCACCTGTCATCTGGCCCCGCTCTCGCCCCTGCCTGCTCTGAACAAAGGCTGTGTGCCTCAAGATGGAGCCAGAAGAGGTGGCCTGGGTGACCCTGGGAGTGGCCATGCCACAGACTTCCCACCTCCCACCTTCTCATCATCCAGGAAGAACAGCCCTGATTGCAGGCCCCCTTGCCAAGTCTCCCGTGAGCCTGGCAGGCAGCTGGCATGCTTGCAGATGCAGGTGGCAGGATGTGGACACAGACAGAGGGCGGGCGTGAGGGATCCTCCCGGGGTCTGGCCTGGGCCATTTGGATTGTGGTCCATTCAGAAACAAGGCCAGGTTGGCTCTGGATCAAAGGTCATCCCAAGCCAGCTCACCTGATGCAGATGGCCTCACCTGACCTCCTCCCCTCAGCTGTGATTGGCAGGGGTGGCCGATGGATCACTGGGCACCAGGTGGTGGAAGCCTCTCGTAAGCCTCTATCTGCAGATATCACTTTGTTTTTCTGGGTATTAATTTTTTTTCTTACCAATTACTCTAAGAACTTGACAACATTAATTACCTTCAAAACTCCTTGAAGTGCCCCAAATGGACAAGAAGGAAAAGCCACCACAGGATGCTCATGCTCCCATGAGGCTGAGGCCCAGTGACCCCAGGGAAAGCTCTAAATTGGTTAAGTGCCCATTTTCGGCACAGAGTCAATGCCCACCCAAGCTCCAGCTGCTCCTGCTCACAATTGGCATTTAGGCTCTGAGGGGACTCCTCAAGGGCAACCTCTGACCTAGAGCACTGTACCTTCCTCTCTGTAGGTTTTGCCCAGGCCGCAGACGAGAGGAGGTTCTGGAAGGAACAGCCACCCCGGGAGTCCTCCTGACATTTCAGCCTTGCCTCCCTGAAGCCCCTTCGCCCTACTGCCTCCATGCCCTCACAGGGCCTCCTTTCTCCACCCTGCTGCCTCGCTGCTTCCAGAACATTCTGGCAGCTCCTGCTGAGGTACCAGCTACTTCCAGATGCTTCTCCTTCATAGGGCCTAATACTTCTTCATTCAAGGCTTGTTCACATGTCTCTCTTAGGAGGTCTTCCCTGACCATTCCCTTTTTAAAAATTGTGGTAAAATACACATAACCATTTGAAAGTACACAATTCAGTGGCATCTAGCACATTCAGTATTTGGCACCCAACACCTCCTAGTTCCACAGCACTTCGATTGCCCCAAGAGGAAATCCATCCCCATCCCCAGTCACCCCTCCCGAGCCCCAGCCTCTACGGACCAGCTTCTTGTCTATGGATTTCTGCACCCTGGGCATTTCATCTTCGTAGAATCATCCACATGCAGCTTCCCTCTCTGGTGCGGCGTTTTCACAGCTCGTCCACGCTGTGGCCTGTGTCAGAGCTTTCTTCCCAGTTTTGGTGGCTGATTGGTCTACTTTTTGAGCAGCCCAGGCTGCTTATCCTCCTCGTAGGCTCCTGTGCCCTCCTTCCACACAGGCAGAGGGCTCTGTGTCTTGGGGAGGGGCCTGGCCCCTGCTCCATCCAGGTTAGCCAAGCTCAGGATTCGGCTGGGGCAGGGCCAGACTCATCTGAATGAGAAGAAAAGCTCTTTTAGAAACAAGATGCTCAGTCCCATGTAAAGGGCTCGGGGTATGGCTGAAGGGATGGGAGAATGTCACATTTCCCATGTGTGAAAGCAGGGACCCGGTCTCAGTTGGGGTTGGGATGGTCATCCTATGCCAGTCCACCCCACCACCCACCCCCACCCACCAAGCTCTGTTTCCTGCATTCTGTAGGCACATGAGGGGGCTGGAAGCACTCCCCGGGCTGTGGTACCCAAGGTCTATGGCCACCGTAGCCGCTGCCACTCTGCCAGGAGGGGACACCTGCTATCTGGCTGTGGTAGTGGGAGCCAGGACTGGGGCAGGTCTCCCATCTCCCTGCACCCCTTCCCATTCTCAGTCCATGTGGAAGTGAGGGATGGATGGCAGCAGAACATCCTGTTGAGATGCATAAAAGGAGCTCACTGACCCCTGAGCTGGAGAGAGCCAAGGTGGACACAGGGCAATAAAAGACTAGCCATTCAGAGGGGTTGGGACTGGCCACACTTAGGACAAGGTTGGGGGAGGGCAGCCACAATCTGACTGCAGAGCTGCACCAGGCACAGAATGACCCGAAGCCCTGTCCCCTTGGATGCCTGCATGTGAGCCTGCTGGTGGCGCAGCCGCCCCCACACTTGCCCACCCCCCAATCCTCTTGAGATCCACCTATCACCCTGACAGATGGGCTGAGACAGAGGACCCCCAGCTGGGGTCAGCGCCCTGCTGCCTGAGAGGCTCGCGCCTCATCCATCACTGGGGGCTGCTGGCAGGGCTGGCTGCAGCAGCTGTCTGAGCCATCCGGGTGCATGCCTTTAGAGGCCACCAAGTGGGTACCAAGTGCCTCTCACCCCCAGCCTCTCCCCAGACAGGGTAGGTGGGTGGGTGACCGGGCCACACCTGCCTCCCTCGGCCCCCAGAAACCTGGCCAGGTACCACCTTGGCAGAGGGGCTTCTTCCGGTGGCCGGGCTGCAGGAGAAGCATTCCCCAGGGCACCCTGGCTTGCCTACTGCTTGAAGATCTGCAGCTGCCCTGGCGCTGGGGCTGTGCAGTGGACAGAACTGGGAGGCGGTGGGGAGGGGTCACCTGCACTCTGTCTGGTGACTGCACATGCAGAGACATGCTGACCAACAGTCTCCCTCCAGGTCCAGGTTCTCTGAGCTGCAGCCTTGTAACATTACACCTTTTGTAACCTTTTGTGCCTCAGTTTCCCCCAGCATATAATGACAGTTCTCCTCACAGGCTAGGCAAGGCCTCAGTGGAACTCTGGGCATAAAGGTGGGAGCAGGTGCTGCACAGGCAAAAACCCTAGTTTTCACATCTAAGAGCAGGATGGGCTGTGAGGGGTATGCCTGCCTGCCTGCCATGTGCTCCCGTGAGCATGCATCGGCGCGCCTTGGAGTGTGTGCCTCTGTGGGTGAGCAAATGGACAGCACGCCTGTGTCTTCCTTTCACACCCTCTGCCCCCTTTCACCATCGGGCTTCCAGATGTTGGAAGAGATCTCAGGGGTGGACCCGTCCAACCCTGCAGGTAGTCAGGAGTCCTGAGGCCTCCCCCAACCCTGCCCTGGGCCCTTCCAGCTCTGCCGGGTGTGAGCAGCGACACATCAGGGTGAGATGCTGCTCCCCGGGGTCTTGATGCGTGTCCCTGTCTCATCCATGCCAGGCCGGGAAGGAGGGCTTGGGTCAGTCCACACAGCCTTTCTGACTTCATGATCCTGTATTTATTTCTGTCATGGTTTTCCCTGGAAGACTGGAGGCAGTGCCTAGCGCAATAGTGATAGAGACTAATTGCATGCACTCCTTCTCCCTTCCTGTCCCCTGTCCCCCAGCCACTCGGGCCTCCGTGCTCTTCCTGGAAGACACCCTCCCAGCTCTCACCCCACCCAGGACCTTTGCACATGTTCCATCCTCCTGGAAGCCTCCTCGTCCAGAAGTCTGCGTGTCTCCCCTCACTTCCTCCCATTCTCCGCTGAAGCGCCCACTTTGCAGCAACACCTTCCCGGAGGAGCCTTGTGTGTGCTCCACACAAGCTCAACTCCCCGCTCCACCCTGCTTGATTTTTCACTGTACTTACCCATCTCCTTTGCTGACTGTCTCCAACTAGAATGGCAGCTCTGTGAGTGGAAGGGCCTCAATTCTACTCTAACTGCGTCCCCAAACAATGGGTGGCGGCTGGAGGTGGAATGAGTCAGAGGAGGGAGAGCTCCCAGACAGGGTGGCCAGTCCCCATTAATGGAGCTCCAGCCCCTCATAGACCCCAATCGGAGTAGCTATGGGGACAGAGCTGCCAGCTGATAGTGGTGATCTCCCTGCTCTGCGGGAAGGCACCTCAATGTGGCGAGGCCTATAAGGTTCTTTTCAGGGTTTGCACTGAGGCCTGCCTCGTGACACACAGGACTGCCAAGAGGAGCAGGGCAGGCATTAGGCACCAGCTCCTGGAAAGATGACAGTTAATATCTGTAGGGCACTGGCCATTGCCAACCATGCCCCCTTCCACCCCAGGTGGGCTTTCCCTGCAGTCAGTTCTAACATCCCTGAAATGTTAGCATGCT